AACGTATAAAAGTTTTGCCGACAACATCAACACAACCGCCACTGCCACCGATACGGCCGCCGCCGATGACTACTATACGTGCGGACTGTTTGGTTGGCGGCCCCGGTGTCTGCAACGGCTGGCCACTACCCGTATGTTTCTACTAGTATTTGCACTGTTGGGTGTCATCCAGGGTGCCAACTATACCTATATGATTGCATCCATAACCACTCTGGAAAAACGTTTTCAATTTGGTAGTAAAATATCGGGCCTCATATTGATGACCGATAATGTTATGCAACTCATAGCCAATCCATTGTTCGGCTATCTGGCCAATCGTGTTCACCGACCACGTATGATAGCCCTGTGCCAATTGATTGTTGTGTTTGGCTGCTATCTGGCAGCTCTACCCTATTTCCTCTATGAATATACACCATTGAATAGCTATCTAATTGGTGGTAATTTTAATACTACCAGTGCTAGTGGTAGTGGTAGTGGTGGTCATCACCAGCAACTAGAGTATTGTGATAGTGTCATCAATAATGGTAATAATACCAGTGCTATGGGTGTTATGTTAAACATCAACGATTGTGGTGGTGATGGTGTAGGTGCTGATGATATTAGTAATGACAGTGCTTTCTATGTGAGTGCAGCCGTACTACCGGCGGTTATCATATTTTGTTTGGCCAGTTGTTGCAATGGTATCGGTTTTACAGCTTTCTATATAATAGGCATACCGTTTATCGATGATAATGTCAATAAAAAAAACTCGCCCATCTATATCAGTTAGTATATATATATATAATATATACTGTAGTTTAGTGTATATATATATTATAATAGTATGATTTCTATGATGCTAATTATTATTATTATTTTGACATTGATATTATTTTTTGTTGTTGTTGTTTTGTATATGTAATTATCTAGGTTACACACACACACAATTACATACATAAACACATACACACTTAAATACATACATACACACATATACACACATATACACACATATACACACATATACACACATATACACACATATACACACATATACACACATATACACACATATACACACATATACACACATATACACACATATACACACATATACACACATATACACACATATACACACATATACACACATATACACACATATACACACATATACACACAAATACACACATATACACACATATACACACATATACACACATATACACACATATACACACATATACACACATATACACACATATACACACATATACACACATATACACACATATACACACATATACACACATATACACACATATACACACATATACACACATATACACACATATACACACATATACACACATATACACACATATACACACATATACACACATATACACACATATACACACTTAAATACATACATACACACACATACATACATATACACACTTAAATACATACATACATACATACACACACATACATACATATAAACACATACACATACATACATACTCGTAGAGCACAGGCATATGATTTGATTGAGTGAGTGAGTGAGTGAGTGAGTGAGTGAGTAAATAATTGATAGATTAATAATAACTGTGATCATCTGAACCATGATGAATAAATGTATGTAAATTTATGTCTATCTAAATGTGTGTTTATGTATTTATTTATATGTTCATGACTATGACTATATAACTTATGTGTGTTTGTATACTATTAATACATGTTTGTCTGTGAGTATGTGTGTGTGTATGTGTGTGTATGTGTGTATGTATGTATGTATGTATGTATGTATGTATGTATGTATGTATGTATGTATGTATGTATGTATGTATGTATGTATGTATGTATGTATGTATGTATGTATGTATGTATGTATGTATGTATGTATGTATGTATGTATGTATGTATGTATGTATGTATGTATGTATGTATGTATGTATGTATGTATGTATGTATGTATGTATGTATGTATGTATGTATGTATGTATGTATGTATGTATGTATGTATGTATGTATGTATGTGTGTGTGTGTGTGTGTGTGTGTGTGTGTGTTTATAAGTATCTATGTTCGTTTGTGTGTGTGTGTGTTAATGTTTGTATGTATGTGTATGTATGTGTATGTATGTGTGTATGTATGTGTGTATGTATGTGTGTATGTATTTGTGTGTCTATGAGTCTATGTTTGTGTTTAAAAAATAGACAAAATAGAGACAAAAAATTTGATTACTTTTTTTTTGTTTATTACTTTATCTAATATAATATAATAAAAAAAAAATTTCTCTCTACTACTACTATATTGTCTCTCAATTTATTTTGCTATTAACAGTATTATTACATTTAAAGACTCGTAACTTTAGTCTAGATATTATTATTATTATTATTATTATTATTATTATAGATAATAAAATACAATTAGGGATACAACAACAAAATTGATTTTGATTTTTGTCTCATATATGCTTTCAAAAAAATATAGTAGAGTTGCCAACTAATAATAATAACTCCCACCTAAAAAAAAATATTTAGTTTATTAATTTTTATCAATTATTATTAATAAAAAATAAGTAAAAACAAATAATAATACTTAACTTTCAGGTAATTATTAGATTTAAATTAATTTTTTATTATATTTTATTATTCAATAGTTTATTTGTATTTTTATATTTAAAAAATAAAATAAAACATACTCTATCTAAACATATATGAAATTTTAAATAAATATATAAATTATATAATTTATATACTTTATACTAATTTTACTATTTTTACTAATATTATAACAGTATGTATAACTGTTAAATGTTAAATGATTATAAATGTATGTGTGTTTTCAATTGTAAATTTATATGTTTGTATTTATGTGTGTGTGTGTGTGTGTGTGTGTGTATGTGTGTGTGTGTGTGTGTGTGTGTGTGTGTGTGTGTGTGTGTTTGTGTGTGTGTGTGTGTGTGTGTTTTTTAAGCTTATTATGTATGAATATTATTAATGTAATCCATTATTATTATTATCTACTATCTAATTTGTACTAATTTAACTATAATCGCACAACACATACATAAACACGCATACATATACATATAGACACGATTACACACATATATATACATAAAATTTATATATACACATAGACACAATTACATACACATATATACATATAGACACAATTACACACATATATACATATATATAATACATATATACACACATAGACACAATTACACACACAAACACTCATATATACACACATAGACACAATTACATACATACACATATATACATAGATACATACATACATTTACACACACACACACAAATTACAGTCACAAAAAAACAACTAATATTTTGTTTATCAAAATTTGTTTTACATGTAAATTGTTATTGACGTCATGTTTAGACATTTAAATTGTTATTATTATTATTATTAGGTTTTATTTTCATAATCCTATTATACAGTATTAAATAATTTTATATTTTTATCAATTATATAAATTATTTATTTTACATATATATATCTATTATAAAAAAGTCATTTATGATTGATATAAAATTTTCTTTATAATTCTATATTTATTAGAATATTTAAAAAAAATTAAAATTACAAAATCAAGTTAAAAATCATAATTATTCTAAATATATATAATTGTTTGATTAAAATTAAAATTTTCATATTTAATATATATATATATATATATATATATATATATATATATATATATATATATATATATATATATATATATATATATATATATATATTACTTTAATATTATTTTAAATCTACTAAAATTGTTTCTATTGATTTTCTTTTTTTGGTATTTATTTCAATTAATAATAATATTTCTACAACAAAAAAAATTATTAAAACTATAATACATGTAATTAAACTTATTATATATATACTATATATATAGTATACTATATATATAGTATATATATATAATCTATATATATATATATATATATATATAATCTATATATATATATAATCTATATATATATATAATCTATATATATATATATAATCTATATATATATATATAATCTATATATATATATATAATCTATATATATATATAATCTATATATATATATATATAATCTATATATTTGTTGTGTACGTGTATGTGTGTGTATGAGTGTGTGTGTGTGTGTGTGTGTGTGTGTGTGTGTGTGTGTGTGTGTGTGTGTGTGTGTGTATGTGTGTGTGTGTTTGGCATATATATATATATATATATATATATAAAAAATAGTACAAATGTTTTTTATTAATAAGTTTTTACACTATTAATAATATTAATAATATTAATAATACTAATAATAATAATAATAAGTTACAACAAAACTATTAACATTATTGTACATTAAATATACTTTATATATATATATACTAAAAAAATGGATTAATATTTTTATTTTATATATATATATATACATTATATGCTATTTATAATTAATTATTGATACAGTATATGTCAATTACAGGTACGACAGCAGCACTCAGATTAGGCGGTCCGACGTTAGGCTACTTTTTATCCTCATTTTGCCTAAGATTTTATGAAAACCCATTTCGTAAGTAATTATTATTATTATTATTATTATTTTGTTGTTTGAAAATTTAAAAAAAAACAAATAAATTTAATTTTTATCTAAATTTTTTAGTAGTATTATTATTAATAATAAATTATTGTATATAATAAATGTAATTATATTGTTGTTGTTGTAAATAAATAAATTTTTAATACTAATAATATATATATAGTATTATATTTTATAAAAACATATACCGTATAATACATAAATTACACTTAAATTATTTTTTGTGGTAATAATTTTTAATTAATTATTTATTTATTTATTTAAACACATTATACGAGTTTACATTATAAGTAAAATGAAATTTAATTTTTATTGTATTTTTTAAAATTGACAAAAAAAACAAAACAAATATTAAATATTTTCAAAAATAAAAGTTAAGCATCTTTTGTATATATATATATTAT